GGGGAGTTCCTAATCTGCAACAGGTCAGCTGGATCAAAGGGTCCGTGCGAATGTGGAAAATGGAACATGCTGTGTGCTCTATCTGGTTGCTGTACACCCAACTCTGAACCTTGAAAGCAGAGTCTACATCGTTTCAAGTAACTCTGGAAAATTCATAAGAATTGACCACACATTACATCATAAAACCTCGGTATACTGTAAACAGTCGATGAGGTACAGTCAACTTGATCATTACACATGCAGGAAAACTAGAAACTGAAAACAGAAGAAGAAAACATCATCAGGACCCTTTCAAACTTTAAAATAGCATTTGAGTCAAAGAGGAGGTTGAAACGAACTGCAGAATTTCTAGAAAAGTAACAATAATGAAAATGCCATGTATTCGTGGGTTATAGCTAAAACAGTTTTCAGGGAAAATTAATAGGATTATATAGAATACCTAGAATATAGAATTATGTTAATATACTAAAAGAATGGAAATAAATTAGGCATCCAACTCAAGAAAAATGTGTAAGAGCTCTCAACTGCATCCCATCCAGAGCCCCGGGCTCGGATTGCAGAATACCATCACGCTGCTGTTAAAGACCCTGTAACTAGACTACCATTCTCTTCCATCATTGCAGGGGGATAAAGTGGCCAGGTTCTTTTATGAAGCAAGTATATCTTGGTCTTCCAACTTTGCTCATTTGATACTAATATCTGATGAATACACAGAAAAGTAAAATGTAAGTGGTGAAGAGACGTTTGTCAAAATTTGCTGTCTAGATTATTTTTAAAAGAACACTTACATTTTAAAAGTGGGTAATTTTTTACACCGTTAAAAGAACATTTATTTCAACTCTACAACTGGCATCTTGCTTAAAGAAGAAACTTTAGTCTCCTTGTTTAAGTCAGAAACAAGACAAGGATAAACCGCTATCTTATTTAATGGTTTGGGGATAAGCAGCCAATAGTCAGAAATGGAAACAAGGAAATAGAAAGTTTAAAAAAAATGGATTGGAGGGTTAAGTGATCACTTGCCAATTGTATCATCTCTTAGTAATCCCCGAGAATCAACAAGGATGAGTGTCATTCAGGAAGTTGGTTAGATACAAAATTCATATGCAGAAATCAGTAATAATCTTATATAAAAGAACATTTTGTTAGAATATAGATGGGAAAATAGCCTATGTATAATAACCGAATACGTACTTTAAAAAAATAGAAATAAATTTAACAGGAAAAATACCAAGTATATAAAGGACCATTTCATCTAAAGAACCAGGTTTTACAGGGAATCCAGGGGGAATGATCCCTACAGGACCAGTGGTGTGAGTGACGATACTGGGAGGGTAGAGGGAGAGTGGGTTGGAAAGAGGGAACTGATTACAAGGATCTATATGTGACCTCCATCCTGGGGGACGGACAACAGAAAAGTGGGTGAAGGGAGACGTCGGACAGGGCAGGATATGACAAAATAGCAATTTATAAGTTATCAAGGGCTCATGAGGGAGGGCGGGAAATGAGGACCTGATGCCGGGGGCTTACGTGGACAGCAAATGTTTTGAGAATGATGAGGGCGATGAATGTACAAATGTGCTTTATACAATTGATGTATGTATGGATTGTGATAAGAGTCGTATGAGCCCCTAATAAAATGATTAAACAAAAAAAGAAAAAAAAATTTAGTACAACACACACACACAAAAGAAGTAAATATTTCACAATATTGAATAATAAAAAAAAAAAAGAACCAGGTTTGTTGACATGAAGGTGTCCTAACGTTCCCTTGTTCTTATTTATTTATTTTCTGATGTGATGTGTCTGCTGTCACAGAAGGGTCTGGAGTAGACCAGGGTTGCTAGAGGTGGGAGCTGCCTCCCATCCTCTGCTCTTTGGACTGCTCTGAGGGCTCTTGTGTGTGCTTCGTTCTTCCCAATTCAAAATCCAAAAAGCTCTGAGTCCGCCCCTCTTCCAGGAGTTTCAGCCTAAATCTTCTCGGCTCCTCCCATAATTTGGAAGCATTCATATTGTCCTATTCTCCACCCCCCCACCTCCCCCCAAATGGGAGGGGCGGGGCACGCCAGAAGCAGTTCAGGTTAGGGAAACTAGGGTGGAGGTGTCCTGGTAGCCGCACTTTAGTGACTTGGCGACTTTCTACCATTGAGCATGCAGCGGAGGATGACCTGGATGCTGGCGGGCTGCCCCGCTGTGCTCGCATACTGGATCCAGCTGTGTTGTGTGTGCATTTGATACTGTTCTGATACTCGTTGCCGCACCCTTGCCCCGGGCTGGCTGCAGAGTAGGGAGGCCCCAGGCATGGCCAAATCTGGAGCACCCTGCCCACCCCCAGCAGTGCTGTCAGCACTGCATAGCAGCAAGGCCTCACAGGGGCCCCAGAGACCCAGTCTAGGCAGCCGTGCAGCGGCAGGTCACGCCGTCCAAGTCGCCAATGATTCCGCAGCCATAGGCTCCTCATTTCCCTTATTTAAAACAAACAAACAGCTTTATTGAGGTGAAATTCACATACCGTGAAATTCACTCAGTTTGTAATTTATGGTTCTCAGTATATTCATTAAGTTGCACAACCAGCATCACAACCTAATTTTAATATATTCCCATCATTTACAAAAGAAATCCTGTACCCATCATCAGTTCTTTTTGAGCCACCTGACCCTTGTTAAAAAATAATTGCCCAATGGGGTCGAATATACAAGATCAAGCAGTGTTTCCTTCTGTTGTCACCACTGTGAGCCAGAACTGACTTGACTAACAACATAGGGGTTTACTTCTGGACTCTCTTGTATATCTATCCTTACTATAAGCCAGTACCATATTTGCAGTGAGTATAGCTTTATAAGTTTTGAAATAAGTATATCTTGGTCTGACAACTTTGTCCACTTTGAAGGTTGTTTGGGTTATTCTGAGCCCCTTGCGTGTCCATGTGAATTTTACCCCGAGTTTGTCAATTTCTTAAAGAGCTGGGATTTTGCTAGGAACTATATTGAATTGGTAGATCAATTTGGGGAGTATTGTGTTTAATATACGTGCTGAAGATGAGCATATCTGTCTTCTTATTCAGGTACTCTTTAATTTCCTTCAGTGTTTGTGATTTTTAGTATATGTCTTGCAGTTATTTTATTAAATGTATTCCTAATTGCAGTATCCTTTTTGATTTTGTTATAGAATTGCCTTCTTAATTTATTTTTGCAGTGTTCATTGCTAGTATACAATTAATCTTTGTATATTAATCTTGTATTCTACAGTCCTTCTGAACTCATTTCTTAGTTCTAAGACTTTTTTAGTGGATTCCTGGGGATGTTTTGTATACAAGATCATAGCATCTTGCAAATACAGATACTAGGCCTTCTATTTCATTGCAGATGTTTTTTATTTCTTCTTGTCTACTTACCCTGGCTAGAATTTCCAGTATAGTATTGAGCAGAAGTAAGACATCTTTGTTTTGATCCTAACCTTAGAGGGAAAACTTTCTGTCTTTCATCATGAAGTATGATGTTAGTGGGAATTTTTGCAGGTTCTCTTTATCAGGCTGAAGTTCTCCTCTGTTCCTAAATAGTTGAATGTTTTTATAAGAGGGTGTTGGATTTTTTTCAAATCCCTTTTCATTGTCAGTGAGATGGTAATAGTTCTTGATTAATCTATTAATTGATTTTCAGATGTTGCACCAGCCTTATATTCCTGGGATAGATCTCACTTGATGGTGGCACATGGTCCTTATATTCCTAAGGGATATTGATCTGTATCTTTTCTCTGTGGCGTCCTACTGCCTCATAAAATGAGTTGGGGGCTTTGGGGGAGGATGGGCATTCAGTCTTCTTTACATATTTGGTAGAGTTCACCAGTGAAGCATTTGGGCCTGGGCTTTTATTCATGTAGGGTTTGAAGTGACCATTTTACTCTGTTAAAGGCCTATTCAGATTTTCTATTTCTACTGGAGTCGCTTTATGTAGTTTGTGGCTTTCTAGGAATTGTCTATTTCACCTAGGTGACCTCATCTGTTAGATTAAAATTCTTGAGTGTTCTGTCTATGGAGTAGTCGAGGTGACCCTGGCCACTTTTTTATTACCAATTTCAGTAATTTGAGTATTGTATTTTATTTTCTTGAAAAGTCTAAAGAGTTTGTCGATTTTGTTGATCCTCATTGCCCTGTTAATGCCAGCAGAGTCTGCAGTAATGTCCCTCTTTATTTCCTGATACTGGTATTCTTTGTCTTTTTTTCTATGTGTGTCTAGGTGTGTACAACAAGCTACCTGTCAGTTTGTTCTACTTTGGTGGCTTGTGTGTTGCTGAGGTGTTGAAACTATGCTGCCAGTATTTCAAATGCCAGCAGGGTCACCTGTGATGGGTTGTTTTCAGCAGACACTTCATTATCATAGGCCAATCACTAAGAGAAGACGTCATGTGTGGTGAAGCAGAGGGCCAGTGGGGGCAGGGAGACCTCTAGAGAGATGGGCTGGCACACTAGCTACACTGATAGCAGAGGACTGGGCATCATTTCATCCTGTTCTACATAAAGCCACCATGAGTCAGACTCATTAATAACTGTATGTATACAAATATATGAGCATATGTGCTTTTACATATACTTAAATATACATACTTACATGTATGCATAAATATTATGATGTGCACATAGGAAATCCCTGGAATTTGGTAACCCTGGTTGTGCTTTGAGAGGGGAATTGAGAGGGTAGGGAAAGGAGTGGAAAGGACACTTTCACTGATGTTTTTTCTCTACATTTTTATTTTTTCTTATAGTTATACTACCTACTCTAAAAAAAATGTTTAAATGGTGCTGATCCTAGGAAGATGCTGCCTGTGGCAGAGGCGCATGGGCCTGCCCTCCTGAGGTTCTTGAGTCTGGCTCGTGGTGGTCTTCTCCCACCTCTCTCTCCTTCAGAGCAAGCCAGTCAGGGCTCTGTGAGGGGAGCCAGGTGGGAGGCTCGGACCCTGCTTGGAGTGTCTCTGGGTGACAAAGTCTCTCTTCTCTGGTCCTACAGAGAGGCCTGCTGGCTGGGCCGAATCTATCCTCGAGGAAGACACAGCTGAGCCTGAGCTTGCCTTTCCCAGGTAACCTGCTCACCTTCAATCCCTGCCCTGCTAAGTCAGCCCAAACCCCTACTCCCTTTCTGGAGACTGGTTTTAGGGGCATTTGGCTTATGTGTCTGCAGAAGCAAAAGGGAGCCCACTATTGTCCCTAGAGGTGATAAACTCCGTACATACTCTCCTTGGGGTAAGGCCTCAGAAAAGCTGCTGGCTTGTAGGCAGGGGTTCGCCTAAGGGAACATCACCAGATAAGCAGTGGGGAGTGTCAGGGAGCCTCGGTAGACCCGTGTATATTCCTCGGGAATTTTAATTTAGAATGTCTACCCATCATTATCATGGTGAGGCATATCCCTTAGATCAGCGGTTCTCAACCTGTGGATCGCCACCCCTTTGGGGGTGGAATGCCCTTTCACAGGGGTCACCTGGTTTATAACAGTAGCAAAATTACAGTTAGGAAGTAGCAACAAAAATAATTGTATGGTTGGGGCTTACCACAACATGAGGAACTGTATGTAAGGGTCGCGGCATTGGGAAGGTTGAGAACCACTGCCTTAAACAATGTCGTAAAACAGAAGAAACTGACCTTGTGACAGGTTCACTAGTCCATGGTGACTGACATCTCACTCTTCATCCCCGCAGGACTGTGGGTACCATCCAGCACTGCCTCCAATTGACCTCAGTGTATACCCATTTCCTGCCCCAGCATGGCCGCCCAGAGGTCACCACCATGCCCTTGGGGCTGGGCACAACAGTGGATTATATTTTCTTCTCAGCCGAGCCCTTTGAGAATGGGGATGTGACTGGTAAGCCTGTTAGATCCCACGTTCCTAAGGCCACCCCAAGGGTTCTTGGGAAGAGCTGATGGTTGGACAGGCGTTTGGTGGCCTGACCAGCCTGGGAGCAGGCCTGGGCGCCTCGTTGTACTTCTCATAGGACACTTGCGTGTCTTCTCTCTTGCGATGCTTGCAGCATTGGGGAGGCCAGAGAAGAGCCCTCTCTCTCTCTCTGGTGAGTAGGTGCAGACAGAAGAGCAGGTGTGATCGGCATTGTTTATCAGCATCCACGGAATGAAGGGCTTGGTTAGGTCCCCGTGGTGGTTGAGCCCCCGGTTCACTGTGGCCCTGTGGGACAGTCGTGCTACCCTGTAGGTTTCCATGACTGTGGTTTTTATGGAAGGAGGTGGCCACACCTTTTTCCTGAGGAGTAGCTAGTGAATTTGAACCACTGACCTTTCAGTTAGTACCGAGTGCTTAACCCCTTCACTACCAGGCTCCTTTGGACTCAGTTAGAGATCTTACTTAATTCTTGTCCCCCTCACCCCTGGGCATAGTGATGGCATGCAGTCCACTAGCCTCGTGTTTAGTGTGTTCACAGAATTTTATTTTATTTTTTAACATTTGAAGTAATTGCCTGATTTAAAGCCTAGCTCCCCAGCTTTGCCTAGAACATCAGAAGATCCTCTAGGGCTGGCTCTGGGCATATGCTTTCCAGTTTGCCTAATGAACCTGGCCTGCTGCACGGAGTGAGGTTTGCGTGGGCGATCTCTGTGAACAGGCCTCCAAAGGCAGAGGCAGTGGAGGTGTAGGGCTGGGTGTCGGGGGTGGGGTGGGGGGGGTGGGGGGAGTGCTTCCAGAGGCTCCCCCCAGCCACAGGCAGCGCCATGAAGGCATCTACCTGCTGGCTTCGCTGTGCTCCTCAGGTCGCGGGCTGCACCGAGATGGGACCCTCAGACTCCTGGGCCGGCTCTCCCTGCTCTCGGAGGAGATTCTCTGGGCTGCCAATGGCTTACCCAACCCCTTCTGCTCTTCAGACCACCTCTGCCTCCTGGCCAGCTTTGGGATGGAAGTCACTGCCCCCTGACCTGGCTCTCAGGGGAAGAGGGCTTCTCTTGCAGAAGAGCTCACTGGATTGAGATTGGAAATAGCCCATGCTTCTGGAAACTCAGATCCAAGACACTTGAAGTCCCCTCCATTTCCCCTTGGTCCCTTTCCCCCATGGTTAGAATTCCCTCAGGTGGCCCCTGACCTGCCTAACTTCTTCCGAATCCTGTGCCACCTACTCAGTGGCCCTGGGAGAGGCAGAAGGGGGGTCCCCCCTTCCTTCCATGTATCCAGCACCCCCTTGATTTTTAATTACCAGGGTTGTGGGAGCCATGGTCTCACTGTTTTTGCTTTCAGGTTGTTTATTGGCACAGCTGGCCCCCCCATTTGCTCCTGCCTCCTGACCGTGGGTCCAGCCCTGGGGCCTACCTGGCATGCATTCATGAGCTATGTGTGCCGTGCTGTGTGGCAGTGTCTTGGGGCAGGAAAGCCTCTGGTCAGCCATTTTCCACCTTGGGCTGTGGGCCTCCAGGCTGTGGGCACCACCTAGTCCTGTGTGCTGCCAGGCACCCTCTCCTCTTCTCCAGCTTCCTATAGGCATGTGTCATGTCAACCTGGGACAAATAGACCCCAGAGCCGGGAGCAACAGGTCCAGGACGAAACACCTGTCTCAGTGTTGTCTGGGCCTTGCTGCCAGCTCGCTTGTGCTTTCCCCAGGCACTCCTCATGAGGCAAAATCTCACCCCTGCATGGAGATCTTTGGGCTGGGATGATAGTTTGAGGTGGAAGACTTGCAACAGGAGGAGGAGGAGAAACCGCCAAGAAAGTCTTATTTTGCTGGGCTTGGCAGTATTTAGGTGCACCAGGGGAGGAGACCCGGGGAGCGCCATCAGGCTTGGCAATAGCCTAGCTGTAGGCTGGGCAAGAGAAGGGACTGGTTCTCTTGCTTCTGCACACCCAAGGATCAGGGTCCAGCCTTCTTCCCCAACCTCTTTTTGCCTCCCTCCTTCCAAACCCCTTTCTCCCTAGAAAAGCCTAACATGTGGCTTGGGGCAAACAGACATGCTTAACACAGGTAGTATGGCCAAAGCTGTTCCAAGAACGGGAGTGGCAGTGCTTGAGTCTGTGCTTTGCCTACCAGCCTTCGCTGCTCATGGCCTCCGCCCTCCCTCTCCCAGCGCAGGGTGCTGGTGCCCTAGCTCACAGTGTGTGGCGTGGCCAAGTGCACACTCATGGCAGGGTTCTGGCAGGACCCTGGACCAGCTCCTCCCGGCCTCCTTTGCACTCAGAGCAGCTGCTGGCCTTGAGTTGCTGTTGCCCACCTGGCCTCCAGCATGGCCCGAAGAGAAGGGCCGGCAGTTCCCAAGGCTAAGGCGCTCACCTTTTTCTTAAAACCAAAGACCCATCTTGAATTCTGCTCCTGCCTTCCAGGTCCAGGGTCTGGAGTCTGTTGAACACACACACACACACACACACACACACACACACATTGAAGCCTCGGTTGCTGGGGACTGGGCATGTGCCTGTCTGAGCCCCAGGTCTGCCTGTCCACTGTGACTGTTGATGTTCCACGTCTCTCCCCTGGGTCCCTGCTGAAGTGGCCTCAAGGCAGTGCACGACAGGGCTCCATACGGTCCTGCCAGGAAATGCAGGGGAAGGACCGCTTAAGAGGGCAGAGGGCAGGCATCTGATGGGTTTTCTTTTCCTTGTTTTCTTGTTTTGGTTTTGAAAATTAAATGGGGGTTTTTAATGGGCATTTAAACTATCTTTTTCCAAATAAAGGTTTACCTATTTTCCCCTTCTGTTGGTTATTTATTAGCAGCCTGACAGACATCGGACTGGAGGCCTGGTGGCATGGTGGTTGTGTTGGGCTGCTCAGCACACAAGTCAGTAGTTCACAACCACCAGCTGCTTTCTCCTCCCTAAAGGTTACAGTATTGGAAACTCACAGGGCAGTTCTACCCTGTCCCGCAGGGTCGCCATGAGTCCGCATTGACTTGATGGCAGTGAAATCTTTTTTTTTTTTGGACGGGCATGGGGAAAGGGGTCTGTGAATGAGGTGGGCAGAAAGGTGGGGATGGAAACTTGATCCCGGGGTGTGGGGGTGGCAACCTCAGGCCCTCCATCTAGACCAGAGAAATGCAGGCTCATTTTCTCTGATAGCGAGGAGGCAGGTGGCTCCTCTGTGCACCTTGCACCCCTTCCTGCCTTGGGGCCCGCTGTTCTGAGGTCTGGGGGACAGACAGCGCTTGAGCAAAGCATCCTGCCCTGGCCGTGGTGGGTCACGGCTCTCCTCCCCATCCTTGAAGCTCTTCCTTCTTGCCATCTGCTGCTGTCACACCCTATCCACTGGCCTGCACTGTGCATTACAGGGGTATCTGTCTGTGCCAGAAAGTTGGGGGTAGGTGGGTGGGCGGGGCGGTGGCAGTACTTTCCACTTGGAGTGTGGCAGCTGTCTCCCGCAGAGTGTCTATTTTGGATCATCTCTGTGTTCAGGAGCCGGGGCTGAGCTGTCGGCCATCTGGTACTGCAGTGCTGCTCTGCCTGTCTGGCCACACTGGATATGCGTGTGGGTCCTTTCAGCTCCCTGGGCACCATGCCTCAACCCAGCCTGGGGGATGGGGTAGGGGTCAGGTGGACAGACTTCCAGTCCCAGAGAACCTGGTTACAGAAAGCCGCCTGGGGACTTTGAATGAACCTCTTCTCCACCCCCCAGTAGGGCTCCCCTGATGCCAGGCAGCAGACGTACAGCTCGTCATCAGGCCTGTTGGTGGGTGGCAGGCACCAGAGACTCCCCAGTCCCCAGCAACGGTTCACAGCCTTTGGTAAAGTGGGGAGTAAAGTAGACACCCTTGCCTGGCCTGAAGCACCTTCATATCGGAAGTGGCTCTGGACTTTGGCCAGCAAGGGGTGCTAGGACCCCACCCCCACCCCAGGGGTCTTGGTAGGTGAAGGGAGGCGAGGAGCGCATTTCTCCAGAGCCAGACTGAGCATGTGTCCCTGGAGTTTTACATCTGAGGAAATAGAAATTGCAAAGCTGTAAATCAACATTCTCCTTGTTGTATTCGCTTGCCACCCCACGCTCCTCAGAACACAGGCCAGCTGGAAGTAGGTGAGATAAAGCGGGCCAGTGGCTTGGGAACGGGAGGTCAGGGGCCACCATGGGCTGGAGACCAGGAGGGAAACCCAGGCGGAAGGACGGTTTCTCTTTCTGCCTCCTGCCTGGGTGCAGCTGCTAACTAGAGGGCTTGTCTTTTGATTCCTTAGACGTGTGACTTCCGTTCTCAGGTGGTGGTGGTGGTGGTGGGGGTTGTTCACTTTTTCCAGTTCACATTAGGGGGAGAGCTGACTCGGAGCCCCACATTTCCAAATACAGCTAACCTTTATTCAGAGGCTCTCTTGGGGCTCCATTCAGTTGGATTTACAAGTGCCTGGAAAGAGCTGCCTCCTGTGCATTGCATGGCACCTGTGGCTCCCGCCCCCAAGTCCCTGCTCACCACCCCTCCTAGAAGTTCTAGCGGCACGGGCTAGTCGGAGTCAGAAGCAGGAAGTGCCACATCTCCTGGGTTGCAAGGCTGGGCTTTACTCATGCTGAGCCACAGGAGAGCGGAGAAATGGAGAAAGGGTTAAGGCTGAAAGCCCTGCGGTCAGACACTTCCCTGAGGCCTGTGTTTTGGTCTTAGGTGTGGTAAGAGCAGGAGAACCCTGGGAGGAAGGAAGGAGGCTGGGGTGGGAAGAGCAAGGGGTTTTCCAAAGCCACCCCTCCAGCTCCCCAGTCCCCTGTTGCTCTGGCTTCCTGAGACAAGCTCATCTAGAGAATACTCACCCTCCAGCTCGCCTTTGTTCCTGGTGGACTAGGGTAGAAAGAGCAGGGCTCTGGCAGCAGACCGGCCCCCAGGAGACTTAGCTACTGTGTGGGAGCAAAGGAGCTCACATTGCTTAATGGCACGTCGCTCTGGCTTCGTTCACTAGAACCGAGTGGGAACCGAGGAGGACTCTGATCGTGATCACGGGGGAATGCCTGGTCCCTGGCCTCAGGGTCCCCCTTGCTTTAGGCTAGGATCTTCCCTGGCCCTGAGGAACCCAAAGGAAGGGACACACACAGGCTTGCATGAGTGATGTCTGCCTAGCCCACACCACCAGAGCCGGAGACTTTATTCAGGGATAAGGGGAAGTGAGAGGGAAGTGGCAATACTGATAGGGGAACAGAAGAACAGTCTAGAAGTCTAATACAACATGGCTGCCAAACAGCACAGGGAGGGGAGGTCCATCCCCCCCAGGCCCCGGGCCGGTACCCCCAGGGGTCTTCTCTCAACAGACTCAAAGAGAACACTCAAAAGACAGGAGCACCAACAGGGGGCGAAGGGTCAATACTGATGGCCAGGCCACTAGCACCATGGCCATCCTGCCCAGCCTGGGGAAGCAGCTTGCCACCTCAGCCTCACATTCCTGCAGGGGATGGATGCCAGCCCTTCATACTGGCTTCTCAGCTGGGGACCAGGGAAGCAGGAATTTCCCCAAACTTGAGCTCTGGCGTGAGCTCATGTCACCAGGATGTTGGACGGTGGACCCCAGCGTGCACATCCATGCCCTTGAGAAATGGAGTGGGACGGCTTGGGAACGCAGCTGTAGCTCGGTGAGAGAGCCATCCGGCGTCCACGCTCAACCAGCCGGAGGTAGACTGAGTCCCAGGCTGGCCGGCAGCTCCAGCTGAAAGGAGTAAGGCATGGTGTGACCCCGAGAGGGTGGGAACCAGAGATGAATGTCTCGGCTTTCTTCTCAGACCGAGCTCCATGGTCTCCCCATGCTCTCAGTTTATCTGTGCAGCCCTGGGCTGGGTGCTGCTGCTGACCCCTCTGGCCCTGCCTTTGCAAGCATGGGGTGTCTGGCACATGGGTGAGGGGGAATGAGTAAGTGGGAGGGAAGGCCCTTTGTCCAGCTTCCCAGTGTTCTCACCCGGGCTCCATGCACGAGGAGCCAGGCATCTGGGGACACTGGGCCGCCTTCACCAAGCAGCTTTCTTGGACCCCGTCTGCATGTTTTGACTCCGTGCTGGAAGCAGACCCGAGTCAGGGAGCTGGGGTCACAGCCCTGTCCCTCAGAGGAAGTGAGATGAGGTGATACCAAGGATCGTGAGTGACTAAGGCCCCGAAGTCCCTGCCTCTCCGCTTCCCTAAGACACCTGCAGCCAGGCCAGCCCCAGGGAGCAGAACCTGTGTAAACACACGGGGAAGTGAGGAGGGGTTGCTACATCTGAAAACATTGGAAAATAAGTTAGAGAGCACCGCTGGGTCCTGTGGGAATCTCCACAGACCCGAGGTCTTGGCTCGGGGGTGGGGGTGGGGAGATCTGAGGGCAGAGGGACCGGGCTTTTGGGACACAGCTGCTGGTGGGGCCTGTCCGTTTAGGGTTCTGGTCTCAGGGGCAGCTCCCTGACATGAGCTCCCAGTCTTCCCTCATCTCCCTTCCCTCGAGTTGTGTCCTACCCTCCCTGAAGGGTACACAGGCAGCTGAGGGACCACTCCCCTCCCGTTCAAGGTACCAGCAAGTCACCCACTCTGTGCTGGCCACAGGACTTCTCCCAGCACATACCCTCTCCACTCCAGAGATTGCAAACTGGTGTTTGTGTATGTGTGTGCGTACGCACCAGCCAGTACTGGGTTTGAGCATGTTTTGAATTGATTGCCAACTTGGAAAAGTCAGGAGAACTGACATTAAATCGGAGAGTTCTGCCGTCTGAAGCATCAGGTGATTGAGAAGAGCTCAGTAGCAGTGGGATCTATGCCCGTCTCAGTCCTCCCGCACCAAGCCCTCCTCTTGGCCAGCCTGCCCAGAGGGCACATTCCTTTTCAGCCCCAATCTTGGACTCCTCTCTCACCCTGACAGCTGGCCCTGGGTAAGTCCAAGCCGCTCAGTGCAAACCCGATGTCATCCCACCCAGGTACCCTCCCAGAGCTTGAATCCGTCTTTGCTTGATTACCTCCTGTGGCAGGGAACTCATCACCCTCCAGGCAACCTGATCCTAAACTCTTCCCCCAACCCTTTTTGACATACACTGTGCTCCCTACCCCTGCTAGCTCTCAGGGTCTCTCCCACAGCCTCTCCCTTCCCACCAGGGGTGTGAGCCTGCAGGCAGGCTGTGCCTGACTCCAGCGGTTCAGGTTCTGGGGCCCGGACCAGATGCTTCATGTGACGGGTGACACACCACTGTGGAACCAAGCCGGGCTGCTGACTGAGGAGGCTCATCTTGCAATTTCATCAGCCAGGACTAGCCCGGGAAGCAGCAGAGTCTCTGGCCTGAGCCCCAGCCATCCCAGCTCCTGTCGCCGCACCCCAGTCTGCTCATTGTCCCCTCCCACAGTCAGGGCAACCCCAGTGCAACCTGGGGTCCCTCTGTGAAGTCTGGTCCCTTTGGCTCAGCTGCATGCAGAGCTGGGTCTAAGCAAGTAAAGGCAGTGGGAGCACTGGGCTCTGGGGACAGCTTCACCCTGTGTCCCTACCATGGGGCAGAACCAGTAAGCAGTACTGAGCCCAGCATTGCTGTGTATAGGGCAGGTAGGTGGGTGGTGCTTGGGATTCTTTGGGACTGGGACTCCCACGCCTGGGGCAGATGTGTCCCCAAACTGAGCTCTGATTTAGAGGTGATACAGCCTTTTCCTGAAGATTCCTACCCTGTTTCCCTTTCCTTAGATCAAGATTCTGCCAAGACAGGCAGATGGAAGGAACACACCCATGCTGCCTCCCCACCCCACCCAACCCCACTGCAGACCTGGTGTGGCCAGGGCAGCTTCCATTGGGTAAAACCAAAGATCAGACTGCTGCCCTTGAGTCGACCTTGACCCCCAGTGGCCTGACAGGGCAGAGTAGAACTGCCCCAGAGGGTTTTGAGGACTGTACCCCTTAAGGAAACTGAAAGCCACATCTTTCTCCCAAAGAGCAACTCTGGTGGCTAGAGCCCAGCGTTTAACTCACGGTGCCACCAGGGCTCCTGATCTAGACCTAAATCCCAGAGAGGCCAGGTACCAGGCTCCAGAAGCCCCTCACCCAGCCCACGAGGGCACACAGAGCGGCCAAGTACTGGCCTCGGCCACTGGCAGACCCACTCATACAGTTTTCCCAAATATGCCTCAGCTGGGGCACAAACAACTCAAAAGACCAACCCCCTGTGGGTCCAAAGTTGGGGGTGTGGTCAGTGAGCGAGGGAGCAGTGTGAGCAGTGGCTGAGCTGGAACACAGACCTCCTGATACACCCCTCCTATCCGCCCCGCTTCCCCATGAATGAGACTGGTCCAGCTGGCCAGTGAGTCCAGGCCCCCAGGAACAGGGGAACGGCCACGGCCTCACACCCGGATCTGGTACCCGTTGAGGTCTGGCATGGCTTTGGGCTCAGGTGGCTTCTTCTCCCCGGAAGGCCTGCAGGAAGGGAGAGCAGAGGGACAAGGTGAGGGAGGAGGAAGAAGTGGATTCCCGACCCAGGGAGCAGCAGGGAAGAGTGGCAGGATGTCCCCGGCACTCAACCCTCTCACTCGCTCCCTGCTGCTTGTTCTCTGCGAGCAGCCAGCTCATCTGGTGGGCTCGGCCAATACCAGCTCCCAGTACAACCCTCTCCTCTCCACAGGGATCACAGTGAATGCTGCCCACCATGCTGGTGCCCTGTAATTCACACTGGGAGACAGCTCCCGAATGGACACTGTTCCTAAAGGAAGAGCCAGGCTGGGGGGTGGGAGACAGAGCCAGAGGCCAGGCCATCGAGTCCACCCCAATTCCTAGTGGCCCCATCAGACGGGGGAGAACTGTTGTGGGGGTTCTGGACTATTTATGGGAGTAGAAAGCCCTTGCTCCTCTTCCGAGGAGTGGCTGGTGGCTTTGAACTGCCGACCTTGTGGTTAGTAGCTCAACATGTAACCAAATAGCTATCAGATCATCTCTAGATCCAAGCAAAAATGTGTCTTGAGAGACGAAGTTCTGTCCAAAGCCACCCACCCAGTTGCCCATCTGATGTTCAGATCCTCACCGCCACAGTCCTGGGCTGAGCCATGCTTCCCAGGAGTGGCCCCTACTCCCCCTCCCCCAGAGTCCATGCTGCCTCATGCCTGGCCTCTTCTGTGGGCCCTGCTAAACCACCACTGAGGGCACACCCCAAGTTCCTCCTGGGCACAGGACTGCTCTACCGCGGGAAGATGCCCACACACAAACCCACCCTTCCTGGCACCGCATCACGGAGCACAGAAACGGTCTTCATGATGGGAGGAAGAGACCCCCTCCTTCAGCCCACCCAGGCAGGGTTCAGCCCCTCACCGTCTCTCCCCACGGCTATTCCTGCGATGCGGACTGGACTGGCTCCGCTGTGGGGAGCACACATCCTTCTTCCGGTCCTTGGTGGGCGAGGGAGGCCCCGTCCCTTTGCCAATCTTGGAGGAAGAAATGAAAGCGTTCCCTCAGGGCTGCCCTGGAGCCCAGCCTACCCTGCAGGCGGCCATAACCACCTGGTCTTTCCCGCCCAGGCCAGGGCTCCTGAGCAGGGGGGCTGAGCCCCACAGGGCTCTGGGGGAAGCAGGGGGAGTAGAGGGAAGCCACTGTGTCTTCAGAGCTTTATGAAAGGGACCCAGAGAAATGGTCTGTTGACCAGGCTGGGCATACGTTGGCTGTCTGGTATCTGACCCAGCTAGGTGGGGGACTCTGATTATTGGAGACAAACCCAGCTCGGACCAGGATTCACAACTCTGCTTCAGAGACAAATGAGAAAAACCCAGTGAAGCATCCTTTAAGTTCCACATCAAGCCGAGTGGAGTTCGCTGGATCTGGGGTTTCAAAAGGGGGTGGGGCAGCTGAGAGGATGGAGGGCGGGGCTTGTTGTAAATTGTCAGGAAGACGGCCCCTGATGGTGGGCAGGAATGCTGCCTGGTCCTGGGCCGTCCTATGGGGGATGGGATGGAGCTGAGGTGGGTGTGGGTTCGAGGGCAAGAAACCGGCAAAAAAGGGGAGTCTGAGGTGCTGAGTAAGTTGGGAATCACAGTGCTAATGACCAGGCAGGTCAGTCCAACCAGTTCTGTATGAGCTAATGTAATAGCCAGGGTGGGGGCAGCCCAGAGGCTAGGCAAGGAGGACCAGCTTGGGAGCCTTCAGAGCAGCTCCTGGAAAGGCCTGGGATGCCTGCTTCTGCCCTGGGGGAACGTCCTCTGGCCCCACAGGGTCATGGCCTGTGGACTGGCCAACCTCCTTAGACCCTAGTGTCAGCTTGTGACACACTCAGCCTCCCCTGCAGGACGACTCCTCCCATGGCTGTGTGGAAGTCTCCTACCCTGAAAAGGGGGTCTGCACCACTGCCCAGGGCTGTCTGGGGTTCTGTATGTGTTGGTGGCCATGGTGGAGGTGCCAGGCTTCCTGGCAGGGCCACAGTCACAGGGCAGCTGAGCCAAAGGGAAAGGCCCAGATGTGACCCAATGTGGGGATAGGGGTGCCAACAACTCAGCAGCTCTGGGGGCAAGGGCTGCCTCCTGGCTTCCTTCTACCCTGGGAGACGCCTGCTGATATAGGAGTGCGTGAGGAGGAACTGCCGTTATCTTCCCCCAGGGCCTGACCTCCCCTTTGCTCTGGCCTCATCTTCCACCTGGGTGGGGTGGGGAAAAGAGGGACAAGAGGGGAGATGGAGGCCACCCCTTGGCCTCCCCACTTCCTCCCTCTGTCTTCTCCTGACAGACAATGCTTCCTACCAAGGGGTCTGGAGGATTGTGTGGCTGCCCTTCCCCAGGCCTGCGAGAACTTCCACCCTCACTCCATGCCCCGCCACCCCCACCCTCCAGTTCATCTGCTTCCTCCCTGGCCAGCCCACCTTAGGGGCTGCACCCTCTGATACTGTGTCCATTCCAACTCAGAGGGACCCTCTGGAGGGTTTCCAAGGTTGTGCATCTTTATGGGAGCAGCGGCCTCATCTTCCTCCCAGAGTATGGTGGTGGGTTTTGAACCACCCACCTTGTGGTTAGCAGCCCCATCGCTTACCGAACAGCGGCAGCAGGGCTCTTGGAGCAGAAGCTGGTGGGGAGCTGGACCAGAGCCAACATTGTTGCAGACCCAGGGTGGCCAACTATGTGATCCTGGTGCACACCCCGCCCCACCTTCCTCCACCTACTCGCTCCCCAAGGCCGTTGGGAGCGGACAGAAGCCCACCGCCAGCTCCCTGCTGGGGCGGCGGACCAGTCGGTGGCCACTGACCTTGAGGCGCATGTCGCGGGCATGGCGCTCCAGCTCCTTGCGGAAGTCGTCGCGGCCCAGCCGCTCCACGTCCAGCACCGAATGCTTCCACTCGATCTGCTCCACGCTGTGCGGGTCGTGGGACACGTACTGGCCCAGCTTCACCTTCTGGAGCACGTGCCAGCAGCGGCCATAGGCGGCCTCGTAGTCCAGCACCAGCTCGCTGAGCGTGCGGAAGGCCGGCGCCTTGTACATCAGGTCCTCGCGCCGGCTCATGCCCAGCGCCCCGTAGCGGCCCCCCAAGTTCACCCCCAGCACGATGTGCCGGAAGTAGTTCCCTGAGAAGTAGGTCTTGAAGCTGATGGGGAAGCGTTCCAGGGTGGGCATGCTGTTGGTGAGGTAACTGGGCACGCGGCCTGAGCTAAGGAAACAGCCAGGGAGCGGACTGCCGCTGGACCACCGCCCACCACCGCAGACACGCCCCCAGCACCGCTAGACCGCCAGCCAATCAGAAGCTTGCACAGCAGCACAGCCCCGCCCCCTTTCCCGGGCTCATCTCCACAGCGACCCTATAAAGGCCATGGGAGGGGTTTCTGATCCAGTAGCAGAAAAGCCTTCATCTGTCTCCTGCGGGAGTGGATGGTGGGTTCGAACTGCAGATCTTGTGGTTGGCACCCCAATGTGTACCTTGTTCCTTTGGGTTCCAGGCGGTGCTCAGCGAGCCACTATGGGCCATGGGCATCGCTACGTGAGCACAACGCAGGGACCCACCCCTCTTCTCTACCCCCCCCCCTCACCCATTTCTCCTCACCCCTCCATTCAGACACATCCTCTCAGGTTTCTTGCTTGTTCCCACGTACACCCCCTCACATATGCACATGCAGTTTTGCCCCGTTCCCTTTCTCTCCCTCCTCCCCCAAAACTCACCACCCACCGCCTTTCAAATCAAGTCCAGGCGCCCGTCCCTGGGGCTGACGTCAGCTCTCCATGCCAGCCTCTTGGACCGCTCACCTGCCTGCTGAGATTTTTCACTCGCTGGCCTCCCT